ATGAATTGATACAGCTGAGAGACTTCCCCAATAAAATGTTATTAATTCCCATCAACTTCAAGTTTCAACTCCGGCGGGAACTTGAGAGCATCTGAACCCGAACTTAGGGACGGATCGAATGGGGAACTCACGACGTTAGTATCCTTCTGCGCAGCCGGTTCCTCCAAAGGCGGATGCAGAATTGAGTGACGTTCATCACGCCACGCTATGACTCATAGCTTCATATCGCCTCGCCTCAATTTTCGGTATGTCATAATAAATCATCCACTAGCCAACCAAAAATCTCCGGATTTTTGGCGAACAGTGATATCACCGAGCCCTGGTTGTTCCCCTTACCCAGGCTCGTACTTATCAGAACCCGGCAACTTGATATATCTGAATTTCCCTTGCTCTCTATGCTCTGGCCCGTACTTTGCATCAATGAACTACATTGCCCGCCGAGAAAAGGACCCGCGTTGCGCCACGATAAAATTGTCACATCTGGGTCCGTGCGGTGGGTCGAGGGTCTGTCGTATCATTCATCTGACCTCTAGCCAAAGGGGGGACAAGAAGGCGCAATTTATTCGAAGCCCTGAGGTGATAACTCCGGCGGTGGCAGCGGGATTAGCAAAAAAATTTTAATTTTCGTCGTGCTATTAGGTGGATTGTGGAACGTGCTCAATCTAAGAGTCGGCACTGTGGTTTTTGACTTTCAACGACGCAGTAGACGAGACCGCCACCTCATATCACGCGGCCTAGATGATTTACATACCCATTCACATCAAGGTTTGATAGAGTTCTTGGACACACGGGTAGATGGGTAGGGGGAAAGTACAACGCCACGGGATTTGATTCTAGGGTTGGCATGAGGTGAATTGAAATTGGTAATGATGGATGGGGATAAGGGGGCATCTCAAGTAGGCGCTGCGTCCTCTCTATGCATGACCGGCTAGTTCAAGGCAACGAATTCGATCGTGAAATTTGGTTCCACGGAAGTATATCGGGGACGGGACGGGACGAGGGAAGTACAAAGGAGGAGTCCAGGCAAAAGATAGGGAAGAGAATACAAGGGAAAAAAAGACGATTACGTTTTACATAATTCTCACCAGGGCCGGACTTCCGAGTCCACGTTCACGGGCCCTTTCTTAATCGCAGCTTTTGCGTTCAAATCCGAGATCTAATCATTCCTACCTCCCCCCCATTTACTTCACATCCTCTCCCCCAGCGACACCTTCTCCCTCCGACTTGCGATGCCTAAAACACTTTCTTGCGACATGGGTACTCAGATCGTCTGGACCTTGCCCTCATCTCCCTCCTCGCACACCCACTTACCGGCCCAGTCTCCCCGCCACAGTAAAAAAAAACCCCCGACACATATCCCCCGCCCACCCAATGCTTTCATCCTATTTCGATCGTCTTTTATCAAGTCTCAGCATGTCTCTACCGATGTCGAAACGAACCACTCTACCCTGTCCAAGATCATCGGGATGACATGGCAGGGACTCCCAGAGGGCGAGAGGCAGGTATGGCATGACAAGGCGCGTGCGGCGCTCGATGAGCACAGGCGGCGATTCCCCGGGTACGCGTTCCGGCCCGGTAAAGAAGGTGGGGAGACTAGAACAAAAGGGCGGCGGAAAGTGCGGGAGGTTAAACCGAAGGATACGAAGAGGTGCGCGAAGATTGCCGAGCTGCTCGTGGAAGGGTTGAAGGGCGCACAGTTGGACGAGGCGATCAAGGAGTTTGACAAGACGCACGTCCCGGAGATCATCACGCGATTCGAGGTACCGATTACCGAAAGTGCATTTCGGCAGGAAAAGAGCAAAGAGGAGAGGCGGAGAAAGACGTCTGCCGTGGTATGTTTTCTGTGTCTTTTCCTCCGGCGGAATATTCTAAAGTATTGACCTAGAAACGCGAGCGTTCGACTCCCCCTCTTCCCCCCCTTGTTCTCGAGCCAGCGGCGCCTATCACTCCCACTGAGCGTGAGGCCCCAGTCATCGATCTCGACACAGCGTTCCTCAGCTCGCTCTGCACCGAAAACAATGCGTCGTATTACCCCGAGTCTCCCAATTCGTATGACTGCTTCTCTCCCGGCGCCCAGTCCGACTTTTCTCCTGCCCAGTCCGATTTCTCTTCCTTCCTCTACCCAAATCCGGCCGAAACTTATTCCTATGACTACACTCCTTGTACTTCCCCCATTGAGTACCGTTCCCCGGCTTCCTTCTTCCCAGAGCCCAGTCCGGTAATGGTCGATAACACTATCGACTACTACCTCTCGACGAATCTTCCGAACGAGTATCTCAACGACCTCATGGATTTCAGTTTCCCCCAGCCTGGCATTGCGCATTGGGATGGCTTCTCGCTGGCGTAGAGTTTTTTTATTGTTATTATTCATTCATTGTATATACTTATCCTTTCCCTCCCCCCTCACTCCCATCTCCCTGTCATTTATCGTTATCTGTGTTACGTATTTCTTGGTTATCTCACACTGTATTACACACGGAGGGACTCTGTGTTGTACTGGATGTTCATGTAATTAACTTAGTAGTAGAGACGATTCACGAACGGCCGAAATAAAATGAAATGAAATTGAAAAAGAATTCATATTGCGGCAGTAGGGACGTGTATCCAAGTGGTTACGCGGTGTGAATATGTACGAAGAATCTGGAATTTGGAAATGGGTCACGGTGCCCCGTTGGCCATTGGAGGGACCAACTCTATTCCACTTCCATGCCACCTACATCAGAATGAGAACGACGATTCATTCCCCCAGGTAGCAGAAGATTCTACCACAGACAATGAAATGGCATAGTGACTTGGCGGTGGCGAATGCACTGTCATGGCCACGCAAAAAAAAAAAAAAGAATCAATCGGGGTGATAGTAAGCATACTGATCGATTAATAGTGACGACATACGGGACGACGGGGCCAAGGGCATATCGGCATTGGACCTAGGGAGGGAATAGACATGAATTATGACACCGGGTGGCCACACAACTATGATGCCTGGACCTTGGACTCCCAGAAAGCCGGCCCCAAGGAGGGATTAGACGACGGGGTCGAGGGTTATGTGCAAGACGAATTAGCTAGGATACGACATCGGGAGGTGATCCAGGGTAAAGTGCATGACTGATCGAGTCACGGCGTCCAGTGACGACATCGGGCAGACAGGGACAACGGTGGCCACACAGAAAGAAGCATCTACAGATTGCTGGCGGGACCGTAAGCGAGCGGGAGCCTCGGAGAGAAGTGCTTACACATAATAGCAATGTCGAGACTCGACTTGAAAGCTAAGCCACAGGTGTCGAGTCTGCTGATCTTCTCTGTTTGAAGTTTTTTAGACACAAGACAAGGTCAAGTAACGGGGAGAGCACGGACGCGAAACCTTCAAGAGCCTTCCGCGGATCAGTCCTTTCTTACGAGGAATATTGAAAACACGAGTCGTTAATTTATTCCGAAGATTCCACGTAATTAAAAGTGAGGAAATTTATCGCACACACACGAGGCAGCGGGGGAAGACGTTGCATTGGCATCTCCCACGGAGAGGACAATTAATGGGCGGAAGGGGTATAAAGATCGCCGAATGAAAAGTAGAGTCGAGGCTCAGAGTGGCGGTGGCTGTGGACACCACGGCCGAGTCCCGACAACCAGGGAGGGAGCGAAAGGACCCGATCGGCGGTATTCAATCATCAGAAGAGAATAGACTCGATTGACCCCATGTGATAGTGCTACAGGAGCATGTGCGCTGAGCGGACGGCTATCAAAGAGGCACGCATAGGATAACATGCATCCAAGACTGGTGATTGGCAGCATCGAAGTTGAAGAAACGACCGGGGTGGGGTAGCCGTTTTCACGACAAGATTAGACAAGCCGAGTGCGGAGAGATCGAAATGCCTGAACCAAAGGGCACAACAGGCACAAAAAAATATAGAACGGTTGCCAGGAGAAAAGAATGTTGGTATCTGTTACAAGGGACGCGTTGGAATTTAGATGAGAGTAAGAAAAGCGTGTGTGTAAATTCACAAGAGAAGCTGTGGACAGAAGAACTTTGATCTCAAGCCCATCGTCGGAGGATTGATTAGGAATGTTCAAAGAGTGGATATGAAAACAAGGACAACTGATCTAGAAAGAAACTTGCTCCACGGTGCAGAACCAATCCGAGGTGACGAGCTTTGTTCTTATCGCTCGATCGTACACGTTGCCAGGATCCTCGATCGTTTTGGGAAGAAAGAGTGGGCGTGGTATGGAGTAATAAGACTTTTAATGAGAATCCTTGAAGTACAGAAGGACGCGAGGAACGCAAGCGAAGCTACTTGGACCGCATACGAGTCTTTGTGCACGAGGTGGACAAGCATCTAGGATCGGAGACTCCGTGTGGTGTATACGAAGAGCACAGGGTGCCGGTGAAGGAGAAGTTTGACCGGAAAGGTTCCTCCCATGGGGAAGCACGATGTGAAGGGTTGTGGACATTGAATCCGCGAGATTATTAAACCTGGGAAGGATGAATGTCAGAAAAGGGTAAAGTACAAGAGCATGAGACCCGGCATAGAGATGTTCAGAATGATCTACTCGTTATCAGGAAAGGGATCAGGCTAAGTAGTAGGACCGCTAAACAGTTTAAGCTTGAAGTGAATGTTTGCTCGGTAACAATTAATCTTCTCCGTGGTACTGAAAGTAAAAAAAAACAACCATTGATCCAAATAACCCTTAAAATACATGGGAATTGCACTTGAAAGTAGCAAGAGAAGAAATCTGAGCTAAATCTTAGGAAAGAATGCTCGTGTTTGAATTCGCGCAGGGTGGTGATGATCAAGTGTGCCAACCCGGCCCGTCTGTCCCTCCATGGCTTTTCAACTTCTTTCGACGCTGACTTGATGCTGATTACTCTCAGGCTACAAATATTCAAATAGTCTAGTATATTCGCTCAATCAACATCATACCACTTTGTCCATTAGTGCAACAAGTCTTCTTTCTGGGTGGCCTTTCATAAGACCAGAAATTGCCATTCAGAGCTCACATCTCAATCTCTGGTAGTATATCGGTTAGTACACGCGCCTGTCATCCATCATGGCTAGGCTGACTTCATCCGCGCGAAAGCTGGGTTCGACTCCCAGCCAGAGAGTGTTAAAGATCAAGATCTCTAATGTAATTTTGTTCGATTGTAGGGTTGACTGTCGGGCATTGAAGTTTGAACATGGAAGATGGCATACGGCTTTGAACCAGCCTCTCCCTGAGCCTATTTCTATAAGGTAATCGGTACGCTTGTTAGAGAAGATGCGTCGAGGCACATACTAATAACACTATGAGAACCGCCTTCAAACCTGGACAAGGTCAAATCAACAGTCTTGGGGTATATGTCTGATAGAGTGAAGCCAAGGCCTAGGTATATATATAGGAAGAATTCGTACATGCAAGGATATTTGAAGTGCTGCAGTGTACATGGCAGTCATCTCATCCTATTTAATGCATACCGTGATCGAACTGTGAGAACATGACATGATTGACGCGTAGCAATTACAGACTTTCATTCGGAATTTGTATCTTCACGCTTTTGTATATTTGCCTCTCCGATGAGTTCTAATGTAGTGCATAGTATTACAAAACAAAACCTTATTCTGTACACATAAATATATATTAATAGAGTTGAATATGACGGTGATTTTGCTGCTGGTGCATTATCACGTGACAGGTAGGTTAGCCTCGATGAAAATCCCTCCAGCGGGGGAAGGTAAGTTACCAGTAAATTACCGGTCCGAAACCCTAGTATACCCAAACACAGGGTTTCGTGGGCCTGAGGGCCAATTTCAAAGGTCTGAAGCCTTTCGAATATATGATCGAGGAAGTCACTAAGGTGCCATTGCAGAGGAGAGCCTGAGAGGCAAAACACGATGCTCAAGTCATTTGAATATGGAAAAATGGATGAGAGAAGGGTAGAAGCAGTCCCTGCAAAGAATCAAGGATCCTATGATAATCGAGAGGAATATTCTTACGATCGAAATTTAGAGGATAAAGTCGATCATAATGCCAGCCACTAAGCGGAGTTCTTTCCCTAGCTGCCAATGGAATGTCAGTCCTTGAGAAAGCATTGAAAAATTAGAATAGCACCCAAAACAACGATATCTATACATGGTCGCGGATGTTTGTGACTTAACTCGTGCTTGATGGTGAAGACTTGATAAAGTTCAACGAATGGGGATAATAAACTATTGAAAGGGCAGCCATATGCCGGTGTGGGAAAGGCTAACTGAAGGGAAGAAATTCCACTTTCAAGACAAAGTGGAGATGAATAGACATTATGGTCGATGTACCAAGGCATAAACGGAATGCGATGATACAATCAGCTTTAAAATCAGAAGAGAGTAGATTTAACCATGCGCCACAGAATTTTTGGAGAATTTCCGTTTGGCAAACGGCTATTCAATTCGAGGCACACTCAGGATGATAGTAGAGCATAGATTCAAATCTAGCGATTGGCAGGTACAAGAGCGCGGCGTTGAGCACTATTCTTGTCACTATATACTCCAGCCGTCAAATTCGGAAATAAGATCTGGGAGAGGGTTCGCCGTTTTCCTAACAGCGAAAACGAAACTAGAAGGACAACTTCGGAGAGATTGACCAGCGTTATAAATTGGAACGGGATCTTTTCGCGGAGTGATCAAAATGCCTCGAGTAAACGGACAGACATGACACCGGTTTCCAGAATAGGATATTACGCGGTAACTGTCCAGGGAACGAGACAAAGGACAAGGCAAATGTGCGGAAACACGTGGGTCATCTCATGTCGGTAGATGGCACACGCTATTAGAAGCCTTGGGAACAACGGTCCAGAAGGTGGAGGATATTGGATTGTGACAGACAATTGCAGTTACAGAATACAGATAATTATGCGAGCGAATGGTACTTTACCGTTTTTGAGGATAATGGCCATGAATGCGCTTCAGATTTGAGTTCATGAAGTAGACACAAATAATCGCAAGACCGAAATTCCTGTTACGGGGAGTGTAGAACAATAACACAGGGTAGTCAACAGTACCAGCGAAGAAGTATTTTGACTGGGCAGATATAGCTGGGAAGAATACGCAGGATGAGAATCTTAGAAAAGGTTGTCCGCGAATGTAAAAACAACAATACTTATTCCACTCACGGTTATGTACTGCTTCGCAAGGATTTCTTTATCTAGGCGTACGACAAACCAGGAGGAGGTCATATGAGTAGGCCCACTGATTTCGAAGTCAATGGTCACTGGGTAGCAATCTCCCAACGGAGAACAGTAGTGGTACTTCCTAAGGCAGGAGAAAAGGAATCCCACCGGCTCATAAACGCAGCGGAGTTGGTTATTACGTAGCAAGGGAAGAAATACGAGTCGTCAGAGAAACCGGACAGGACGGTGACGAGTTTGAATTTGGTCTGTCATGCGTGGGCGCTGGCTATTAATACGACTTTCTGGTCCAACTGATCCACGGCGTCCTTCGCGTAGACAACGCAGTACGTCTGATAGATACGAGAACGGCGTTGAATACAAAATTTACTGCAACAAGTGGTGCGCACCCGTGACATAAAGGTTGCGGGTGTGATTCGCACTGGAAGGACGGTGAGTGTAAAATAAAGTTTGAGAAAACATGACACACGTTCGCACATCATGATAGGGACATGTCAAAACAATTGTTTTGCGGGATTGGATGATGATTGATATACAGTCTGGATTATGCAAACGGGAATGTAAGAAGAGAGAGGAGGCAGTAGTCTCCAAGCGAAGTGACCTCATCTCTCAGGGCATAAGAATTAAAAGTTTAAGACTTTGCGCACCGGGGTGCAAAAAGACTTGAGGAGAGCGGTGTTGTAGGTGCTCCAGTCCCCCGGATTTATCGTGTACAGATACATTTGGGTATACAGCCAGGTCGGAGAATCCCCGACGGAGTCCTTTATGGTTTGGCGTATGAAAGGGTACTAGTGAATGAATGCTCACCGTGTGTACTGAGAATTGAAATGACCGACAGAAAGGTCAAGTATCGTTCAGTGTTGACCTGGTAACAGCTATTTAAAATCCTATGCCGGACAATTCTGTGGGGTGTGAAGATGTGCTTGAAAAGAGAAGGAGAATTCAACGCCACTCGCTGAACAGAGTTTCAAGGTGAGCGCATATAATTAGTCAGAACCTGTAAAAATAAGTAGCATTGGCCTCTTGAAGAACAGAATGATCTCGCAAGCAATGATGAAACAAACTCAGCGGTATTTCGACAGAGCCATATACGTTGGAAAGATTGTAACATTCATAGCTGAACTTTGAGTTGAATTGGAACCTATTATAAGGGGGTTCTCTATGTTAGAGTGCTAGCTTACCATCAGGCTTGATGGAGATGGACTTCTACAAACATTGGCAAGAACTCGCGAAACAACAAAGAGCTTAGAAGTACAGTTCCCCAAAAGGAATGCGGTAGAATCTAAATTCCATTGAAGAGGATACATATAATTCAGTGAGGGCCGAGTATCTGGGAATATAACTGCTTACAGAACGCGCATTGCTGTGCTGGTTGCGTTGAAAGGCAGTGACGGGTCACCGGCCCGAATTCTGTACCCACTTCAAGTTCGACCGACGACCGGCGAATGCCGTATGTCTTTCCCCCCCTACACTGCTAGGGCGCTTCGTTTTTCCATCAGTAGACTCACGCATCCCATTGAGTTAAAAATATGTACTTATCACTCTAGCCTCAAATATTAAAAGCTGATTCTCCTGTGGCGATTAACTGTCAAGGCTAAATTTAGGGCGCTCTCAGTCCCTCGTTCCTTTGAAGTATCTCTGTTTTCAGGACCTTAGTGGCGTCGCATAACCATGCTAGCCGTTCCAACTGGAATGAAATAGGGGCATTGGTCCGACGCTGGCGCTCAGACTCCTTATCTCAAGCCTCCTGTACGTGAGCCAGTCCATCAAATCTGTTAATTTTGATACGAATCTCCCCGCTCTAGACTCTCAAAGATCATTGACATATCCGGAATATTCCTCAGTGCTCAATCTCTTCTAGATAAAACTGCTGACGGTCAGGCTCAACTTGTTTTAACAGAAATGGAGTGGCTCTTCACTTTTCTACACGGTATGGTCCACGGAACGCATTGACCCGAAGACGCGTCCGCTCCTTAATTGAGTCGCGTGGGAACAAACGTTACTTGCCGCGATTGCTCAGGGTCAGTTTGACGACGACCATCAAGCATTGCTCACTGGGCTGCCGCCAGTATTGCCGCAGCAGTCTTCTCACTGACTCTATGGCCTCCAAGGGTAAGGTGTCTCTCCGTCCTGGAAGGGGACGACAGCGAAAAGGCGTCCTTGCTGTTGATACCCATCTAGGGACCTACGACCGCACGGACCCGTTTCGCGCGTTCAGCGTCCTGGCAGGTCTCCTGGGATCCTTAGCTTCGCGTCTTGGAGGGTGCCAATACAAACTCTCGCCCGAAGAACACAAACTTTCGCTTCACCTTCTTACGATCGTTGAGCCCTACATTGGCGGTGCCCCTTCCAAGCGCACACTCATTACACGCCAGCCTACCGAGATTCTCGACGCCATCGTGTTCCACATCGACTCGAAGCAGGACTTGTTGGCGCTGGCCTCGTCCTGCCAGCGTATGCATGGTGTCGTGATTCCCCGGCATCTGGACTATCGAGTCCTGCGATGCAAGGTCAGTTCGATCAGTATGTGGAACCACTTGATCGTCAATCGATCCTTGGCTAAGAACGTCAGGAGGTTGGAGATTTTGGATGAGAGAACGTCGGTGGATTCGCTGAGGATACCAGGAGGAGTTGTGGGCACTGACACGGACTTGGAATCGACAGATGACGAGCTGGCAATGCACGAAAAACAGGAAAGATATTTGGTCTCAGCGTTGACGAAGATGACCGCACTGAAATCCTTCGTGTGGTCCTGCAATCATTCCCCGATCTCTATCGATAATGTTTGGTCTACTTTATTGAAGTGTCATTCGTTATGTGAGGTTGAGATTTACGATAACATGGTCTTCGGACCGACGTCCGACGTGGATAGTCAGGCGGCTCGTTCTCTTGTCGTAAGTTTGTCTCTGACGTCTTTTTTCTGATGCTTATTATCGTCAGCTTCCATCAGTAAAAACCGCGTC